AGCCAACCAAAGAGTGTGTGTGTGTCCAGTTTGATTTTTAGACTGTTCAATTTGTCCCATAGCTAAATCTACATTTTTCTTTTAACAGCCGGTAGCTCACATTAGTTGACTCTCTTTGTCAATAATGAATGAAAATGAGTTTCCTTAAATTCCTTAATGTGATTCCTCAAAGTGTTTCCCACCACAAACTGTACCTATAGTTCATTAGTGCATCATGAGGCGGGTGGTGAGCAGGCATTGATAGGTTACTGTTTGCTTTGATTTACTGTAAAAAGCATCTGTAAATCACATGCAGGGGCACGCGCAGTGATGAAACTGAACAGCCAAGGTAAAGATTATTTGTTTTTCATAAGCAGCAGACTTTTCTAATCACCAACAGCATCCTCTTACAAAGCTGTTGCTGTGTTTTTGTATTGCTTGTACAAACGTTAGCATGTTAACACGCTAAACTAAAATGGTAAACATGGTAAATGTTCTCAAATTAGAAATATACTCAAAGCATCTGTGTGTCTAAGTACAGCCATGGCTGCAGCATTGTTACGTGAGGGATATTGATTGCAAGAAATCTGCATTCAGCTTCTAACTGGGCTGAATAATCACAGTGCGACAAGGTGACAGTTCAAAGCCACCTGGCTGGAAGTTACAGCTCCTGAGAAAACATTCTGATTATATTAACAGTTAAACTAAGTTGCTTTTATACAGGATGGATTTGATAGTTTGGTATTTTGGGAAACACACTTGTTTACACTGGGATTATTTTGTATTAAACAAAGAAGACATGGCATGTTAATCTGTGAGCTTTTGCTACTTTTGGACACAGAGCCAGGCTAGCTGTTCTTTGTGCTAAGCTAAGGTAGCCTGCGGTATCTTCAGCTTAAAAACACACAAGAGTGGCTTTGGTCTCATCTAACTCTTGGCAAAAATCAAATAAGATTTAAACTATTTATTTAAGAAAAGCTGACTGTTTCAATGCTACAGTTTACGGTGAAGAGTTGATTTAGGATTGATTTTAAATTAATATAAAAGATTATGGTTCTTTATATAAGATCAGGACTAAATTTTTATATCACAAGTAGCTTGTTATTAGAATCTAGGTTCAACATAAGGAGGTAAATTTCAGCTTTGGGTTAGGCATTAGGAGACGACGTGCAGCAGTGTGTGTTTTACAAGGAGAATAAAGGCGGCAGCAGGCGCAGAATTCATAAGCCTAATGGTTCTAATTGCCTTACAGGATTTATTGATGTGTAATTAAATAAAAGTGTTAACCCCTTGTACCTTTTCTCATTTCTTCTCCTGATCTGTCTCCCCATTAGTTCTCGCTTTCTCTCCTCTTCATTCTCTCCACTCGTCCTCTCTGACTTTCTCACTCCACCCTCACACTTAAAATGACGGAGATGACAGGTCATCTTCAATCTGTACAAGTCGTGTGTGTGTGTGTGTGTGTGTGTGTGTGTGCTGCCATTTCTTGGTGTTATGTATTTCAGTCATGGAGGCTGAGTCACACTTACGGTAAACTGTATCTATAAGGAAAGATGAGGATGTGTGTGTGTGTGTGTGTGTGTGTGTGTGTGTGTGTGTGTGTGTGTGTGTCTGATGACATGTCCCAGACAATGCCAGACATGAGACAAGGACATGCGAGAGGAGAGAGAAAGATCCTCATCTGCTGTATTGATCACTGCATCTTAACTCTTGGTCTACACACACACACACAACACACAGAGGTTAAGCGAATTAAGCCTTAAGTGAGGGAAGACATGATGGAGGAAAGGGTGGAGGCAGAGTGAGGGACAAACACAACCTGCAGGAGGTGGAGGAGATAATGGAACTGCAGTCTGCCTGAGAGGAAACTCAATTTGCTGAGAAGACGGAGATCAGAAGATGAAAGTGAAAGAGAGGGAGATGCTGGAGACATGGAAATAATGAGCTTTTTGTCTAAAGGCCACTGTGGTTGGTATTTTCCCTAAACCAGTTTCACTATTCATTTGTGTCTGTTAGTTTGTCAGCCCACCACTTTGGTCCAGAATGAAACATTGCAGCTACTGGATGGATAATCATGACATTTGGTTCAGATCTTCACGGTCTCTTGAGGATGAATCCTGCTGACTTTGGTGATCCTCTTACTTATCCTGTGACATATTTAAACATCAGCTAGATGGACTTAGACAGAATTTTGTATTTTTGAGGTTGTTATTTTTTTAGGTCGAAAGCCATTTGATGGAGTGTGGTGAAATTTAAATTTGTGACATTCGTGTTCCTCTCAGAATGAACTGCTCGCACCAACATCAGGTGTACATTTTTATTTTGCCAATACTTTTGGTTTGTGAGCAAATACCGCAGAACTAATGACATTACATTCCCATCAGCCTCAGTTGTACTTTGTGTTTAGTGCTAATTAACAAATGTTAGCATGCTAACACCCTTAACGAAGACATGAGCTGTTTCTCAGTCTGTGTTCTTGTCTGTACTTGTGAAACGTCATCAGTCGCTGCCCAAGTACTGTTCCAATTTAAAAATATGCATCTAGCCAAGTACAGTAAAATACCCGGGTGTGTTCTCGTTTTACCACATCAGTGCTGACTTGTGTGAATTTCGGAAGTAAAAGCCAAGTATCCCAGAATGCATTTTGGACCAACAAGCGGAAATGGCAGAGGAGAGGACGCACAACTGTAAGTTATAATACTGCTTTTAATGTGTCACCGAATGCAGTTTTGAGAGTTTTTTATGCCGGAATATAGTTGTTTAAACTCCAAAAGTGGAGTTGATTTCTCAAGCTTCGAAAATTTGCTACGACATTTTCAGGTCAAGTCTACTGCTGTTTCAAATGCTCAGTGACCGACTGCGGGTTCCCAAGCCGAACTTGCCAAGTCCGACCTTTAAAGCACAGAAGTCTGAACTTGGCGAACTCAGTGTTGAGAAACATCCATGGTAAACATTATACCTGCTGAACATCAGCATGTTAACGTGTGTTTTCATGTTGGTGCAGGAAGCGAATACAGGATTTCAATTATATACATAAACTTTACATTCAGACATCATTATTATGTTTTGACCACAGCTGCGTATTAATTGATGGAGCATCACGCTGCTGGGTGTTGACTTAGGATCGGGTTTAATTATCCTCGCATCTCACTTTTTAAATTAATTTATGTACATCGGGTTCATCTGTTTAGATGAGAAGACCTTCGCAGCTACAGTGCAGGTTTACTAGTTTTGACCGTTGGTTTGGGTTATTATAATAAAGGAAGAGGCACACCCAAAGAAAATGGCATAACAATAATCACACACAGACAGAAACACAGACAGAAACACACACACACACAAACTGGTCCCTGTTACAGTTCTCCTGTACCTTCCTGCCAAAGAAAAACCCTAAAACACGGACACTCTCCTTGTCCATCTGTCCTCTCTCACACATTAGTCTTTCTTTTGTATTTCCTTCACACACACACACACACACACACACACGCGCGCGCACACACAGCGGAGAGAAGAGCGGGGGTGTTTTGGCTGCCTGCTCTGTTTGGCAGATATCAAAATGCCACATGAGTGTCACAGGCCTTCATAGTCTGGGTGCAAGAGGACAGAATTTCCATTTGAGAGAGGGAGAGGAAGGAGTGGAGGAGGAAGAAGAGGAGGAGCCAGCGGGAAAAACAATACAGTGGAACAGGGTGAAGGAGATTTATGGGTACGAAGATGTGGACTGCTTGTGCTGTGCTGTCTGAGTGCAGCAACTGAAACCGATCTTTCAATCAAATAGAGGTCACCCGGACTTTTGACCGAGTTGGAATTCCATATTAGTGGTTAACAACAGATTAAATATGTTTTCAAGAAAATTAAGAACATATAAATAAGAGGTGTTTAATATTCTATTAAGCCGTGTAAATCACATTTTTTTATTTAACATGAAATAATATGAGTAATATTAAATAATATGATTTATCATCTAGTCTGCTGCCTATCAGCCTCTTTTAGCTCATTCCTTTGTTTTACTGGTTCGGTCTCACAGCTCTCATCAGCCCTGTGTTTCCGGCAACAGCAGCTTTCAGAAAACAAGCTCTGAAAAACCCACTGACAGACTAGCTGGTGAAGAAGGTTTAACATTTAGCAACTCAAAGACCCAGATACTTTCTCATTGATTACTTAAGATCTCCACAGAGATGACAGAAGTTTGTTTTAGAGTCGTCTTCACACTTTGTTAAGGCTGTAAAATGTCCTGATAGAGGTGATTCTGCAGCATCAACCAACAGCAGCTCTTAAAAATTGTCGTAAGTGATGATGCTGTCAGTGTAGTTATCTTGATGGTGAATTTCTTAACTTTTAACTTAACTTTTAACTTTTTCATGCTGTGGTATTGTTTCACTGACATAACGTCATCGACACTGTCAAGATGCAATTTACAATGTTGTAAGGCCATTATGAAAGACTTTTACTAACTGTAATGCTGTGGTTTTATTGGATAAATGAAAAATGCATGCATGAAATCATTAAGCAAGAAAATCACATCGGAAAATGTTTAAAATCTTGTATGAACATCATGATCACGAATGAACAAATTCCAACATTATTTTAACATCATTCCTCATCATGACACATAAATGATTGCATAAAAATAATAACTGACAGGCAAAGTGCATTTTTAAAGGATTTTTTGGAAGTAATAAACACAAGTCCTACATTTGAGTTTAAATTATTAATTCAAAGTGAGCTGTACCGTTTTTACCAGATGGTTAAATGTAGTTTTTATTCACTGATGTTCTTCCAACCAGCCGGCCGCCAGTAAGACTAGAAAACCAGAACAGAGAGGAGACACAGAGGGATGGAGAGAGGTAAAAATAGAGGGGGGGGGGGGGGGGGTGCATGGAGGTAAAGAATAAGGGAGGGGCAGAAGGTACCAGGGGAATAGAGAGAGAGAGAGAGAGGATGTATGAAAGAGGCTGATGTCATTGATTGAAGCAGCCAATCAGAGAGCAGCAGGAAGGGAAGGAGGGAGGGAGGAGAGGCAGAGCTCAGAAGGGTGTGTTTTATGTACCACTGCAGCATCAGTGCAAAAAAAGACACGAGAAAAGGCACGACAGACAGGAGAGAGCAAATAAAGACAGAGACCGAGAGAAGAAGAGAGACAGACGAGGAGAAAGGAGGATAAAAGAAAAGCAGAGAGAGAGAGAGAGAGACCAACACCTGCGGAGGTAAGAGGAACACAATAGCATCCCACCACGCTGCTTGTGTCTGGGTTTCCATGCACGACTGTGTGTGTCTATATCTAAGTGTGTGTGTGTGTCAGTGGGCCGGAGGGGCAATGATGTCTTACATAATACGATGGCAGGTATGAACAACTGTGCACTGAGATCAATACTGTAAATATATGTGTGTGTGTGTGTGTGTGTGTCACTGTAGATACATTCGTGTGTGGGTGTATGTCTGCTCTCACTCTCTACACCTTTTGGACTTCACTACATCAAACATAAAACGACCATTCATGATTTGCCGCGTGTAGACAAACGGGCTCTGCTTTGGGTAAATCAGCCTTTAGGGAGTGTCTGACTGACTTGATTCAGCTTTTTAATGTCTGATATGTCATCTCCTGCAGCATGTTTTTATTAATATTAAATGAAATGATGCACTATAGAACATTACAGTAATTAATTATTCACGACTGGTTTGCAGATTCCTTTTTTTCAAGTGTTCAGGGCAGAGGTCTGTCAGGTCGAGTTTGTCGCTTTTTTATCCTTGCATTGCAAATAAAATCCTGGACATAAGCAGCACGATGTGCATCCTGGCTTCTCACACTGACCACCACTATCCCTTCATCCCCTGGTGCTGAAGACTGAACAGGAGATTGTTGTTTTGAATTTGTTTTCTTATGTTAGGGAGTTAGAGAGGAGCGCCACAGGGCAGCGACTAGGACTTTCTCACCTGCCAGCTCATATTATTTGATGCAACTAAGAATAATTTTAATTTTTGATTCATCGGCAGATTATTTTCTCAATTATTCGATAATTGTTTTCTCTGTAAAATGTCAAAAAAATTGTGTAACAAGCGTCAAAGCCATAACGATATTCAGTTTAGTAAGAAAAGCATAAAATCATCTGTTTTAAAAAGCTGGAAGCCGGATATTTAGGAATTTTTGCTAAAACAATTATTCGATTATCAAAAAGTTGCTGATTACTTGTTGATCGACTAATCTTTACAGCTTTACTTTGATGTATGAAATGCTTTTCATAAAGTTCAACAAAGAGGATTCATTCCACTTTGTCTCTTTCGCTCCCTGGTGCGTCGGCCCCTTTCGCACTTTTCAGCAGGTTTCTGTTTGACTGTTTACTCTTGAATTCCTCTTTTCACTCGCGGCAACGTCATTTAAGCCACACAAACATCTCCCCTTCTGTCGTTTGCATTGTGGGGTTTTTCTCACTGCGATTGCTTTGGCAGTGGATCACCTCAAATTAGGCCAGAACCTGAGAGGAGGAGGAGGAGGAGGAGGAAGAGGGGGAGAGACTGAAGGAGAAGATGAGGAGGTTGAAAAGCAGGAGAGAGCGAGTGGTGGAGATATAAGAATGAAAAACGGGCTAAAAGGCAAGGTTGAACAGGGGAGGAGGAGAGATTTAACCCAAAAGAGAATGACTCCAAAAAGAGCAGGATGGGGAAGAAGACCGAGAAATGAAAAGAAAGTCTGGACTGGGAATAGGATGAGACAGTTGAGAGGAGGATGAGGAGGTGGAGGGAAAGTTACAATCGACTGGTGTAGGAGGATTTTTCTGCCCAATTTTTTTCCTCTCATGCTTGGCATTAGTCAAGATGACTGAAACCATCTGGTGGGATTTTATATTAGCGCTCTTTTGTATTTCACAACCCACAGACTGACAGACTAGAGGACAAATAATATGGCATAATAAAGGAGGCAGATTTACTGCTTAAAAGAAATAGTCATTTTTTGAACAATAATATCTCCGGCAGATGAGAGAACCCTGTACAAAGGTCTTTAATGTGCATAATTATTGGGCAACTCCATGATTGTGTGCTGAAAGACTGAAAGACTAAAAAAAACAAACTGAAAATTAATGAGTAGTAGGGGTGGTGATGGCGCAATGGATAAGATTCCTGCCTTTGGTGTGAGAGACCCAGGTTCAATCCCTCACTGTGACCCATCCATCATTGTCCGCAAGACACTTAACCCCTCGTTGCTCCAGAGGCGTGTGACCTCTGCCGCTAAATGTAGTGTGGTATTGCAGAATGGTCCTAGTGTCATGAGCATGGTTCTGTAAAATGTAAGATCAGGCTGGTATGTTGTTCTAATGTAACCCTTACAGCTTAGCTTCTAGAAAAACTGGGCAGGCAACACAGCAGCCAGATGTTTCAAATAGTATATTACTACATAGTACTACTTTGTGGTTCAAAGTTATCTGAAGTATGCTTGAGTGAAAAACACATGTGTTTGTCATATTTAAATAATTAATATTGTAGCAAGGGCTTTACTGTACAGAGTTTTTTGCTGATTCATTGCAGTGAATTTTTTATCACTTTTAAATCAAAGTGAACTTTTCAATCAAAGAGCAATTATTATTTTTTACATTGTATACTGCCCTGTGAGCATTTAAGGGATGGAGGTTTGCAGAAAAATCATCTAATTGTCGAACAGAAAATGCAGTTTGCAATAGCAACACACAAACACAAAGGTCGACATGCATATATTTACTGACTTAGGTTTAATCGCTAACTTCTGTGACGGTAAAGGTTAGGGTAAGTTGCCTCGGGGGCTCTGTGAGATGTGGCTATTGAGACGTCTTGCGTACAGTAGCCACGTTTTTTCCAAAGCATGTATGTGTGACGCCTGAGCATGAGAACAGGCTGCAAATGAATATCAAAAACTTTTTACTGTCCCCAAAAAGTAGGTATCAGGTAAGGCGTCTTCTCAGCTTCCATTTTTGTCCTGTATCTGTACTAGTTTACATATTTTAGGGTCAAAATAACTATTCGGCAAAAAAAAAGCTTCAGAATCCGTGCAGTGGATGGCTTCAGCCGGCAGCTTCCTTTGGGACAATTGTGCTTCTTTTTGCAACCGACAGGCTCAGACTGTTATAACAGGTGTCGGACAGCATCGTGGAATGGTTCCCTACGAGGGACTCCTGGTGACACCCTTTGTTTTTAGCTGGAAACTGAAATTCGGTGAGAGGCGAGTTGCTGCAGGAAGACGACGGTGGAGTGAGTTGTACATAGTGGAACTCATAGCAAGACATTATTTCCTAACATTACTCCAACAAAAACAAACTTCTCTCTCCAACTCTGACTCACATTTGTGTCGTCTTCCTGCAATGCCGCGTCTTACGAGACTTCGCGTCTCACGAGATTTCAGAGTGAGAATTGTCCTTGAGCGAGACTTCAGTTTCCTGTTAAAAACAAAGGGTGTTACCGGGAGTCCCTCGAATGGATCCTTTCCTTGATGTTGTCAGAAACCTTTAATAACAGTCTGAAGCACTTCTTGTGGACGTCAGTTTCACGAGTACTTACTAGTCATTACAACCCCAAAACATCTAAAAATAGGGCCCCAGTCTGGCCTTTGTTTTCTGCCTGACTGTTTAAGCATCATACTGTACCTGGTAAACTGCAAACAGACAGACTGTCTGCCTTCCTGGTAGCATCCAGATTTGTACGATAGTGTGCGGAGCGAAAGGACAACATGAATTTCTGTTGTCCTGGCAAGTCTATCAAGTCAATAAAAGTCCCAGGAGAAAGGTTGAGGAGGCAGTTTGGAGCCAGACTAAAAGGTTTGAACTGCAGGACTGCGGGTCAGAGGGAAGTCTGGGCCAAGAAAATGAGATTAGTCTGACTTTTGCTCTTTCTCTGTTCCTCTCAATCTCTGATTCTGGCTTCCTCTATGTTCCTCATTGTGCTTGTTCCCATCCATCTTCATCCATCTCTCTCACGCCCCCGCTCCCTCCCCTCTCTTTCTCCCTCATCTTTCCTCTCTTTCTTTCTCTTTCTTTTCCCCTTGCTTTTTCCATTTCTCTTCCACAGAAAGAGGCTTTTGTGTTGAGAAATGGGAGGAATGCCCCTTACTCTATTTCCCCCCTTCTTCTTCTTCTTGCTCTTCTTCCGCACGTCTTCTCCTTCCTTCAACCCTTCTTTTCCAGTGTGTGTGTTCCTGTTTGTGCGTGTTGAGTTGTGTGTTTGTGTGTGTGTGTGTGTGTGTGTGGTGGGTTTGGGGGTGCATCCATTAGTTCGGATTAGAGACTGTAGGAGGGTCTTAACAACCCCTCTGTGTTTGGGGTTTTAATCTCCTCAGAAACAGCTAATCTAACTTCAGTGGCTTTAACATGTACAGTGCACACACATGTGCAAACACACACACACACACACACACACACTCATACACTTCCTCCTGCAAATATGTGACTTCTGACTGTTTTTCTGGCCACTGTGGTTGAGTCATAACAAGAGTCCATTCATGAAGTGACGACAAACACAGAGGGCACTTTATCAGCCAAATATCTGAACAACAATATCATAAGTCACTCCGATGACAAATAACCACATGGGGCACATTATCTGTACAGTGAGCAGCAGATGACTGAAATATGACATACATCTGACTCAACCCACCAGAGTGTTTTCACAGACCTGGACTCTATTAATTAATTTGATCAGGAGCTAATTTTAATCCATATCTTTGTGAAATACCCCAATGCTGTCCCATGTGCAATAATAACTGGGTTTTGTCTTGCAAATCTTGCTCATTCAGCAGAGATGAATTGATTAGTTGGTCAGTGGTTAGCACTGTCACCTCACAGTAAGAAGGTTGTGGGTTCAAACCCAGGTTTCCCCGGCCGTTCTATGTTGAGTTTGCATGTTCTGCGTGGGTTCGCTCCAGCTTCCTCCCACCATCCAAAGACATGTGGAGGTGGAGGACTAGGTTGATTGGTAACCCTAAATTGTCATTAGGCGTGAGTGGTTATTCATAAAAGAAAATATCAAACATTCTCTGGTTCCAGCTTCTCAAATTTGAGAAATTGTTGCTTTTCGTTGGTTTCTATGATAGTAAATGAAATATCTTTGGGTTTTGCACTTTTAATAAGACAAAACAAGACAGATGAAGAAGTTACATTATTTTATAGACAAACAACTGCTCAATTAATTGAGAAACCAAACTACAGATATATTTGTGAATATGAAATATTTGTCTAATATAGTTGAA